TTTTTTTTTGAAATCCCACTAAATCTTAAAAAGTATTAATAAATCTTAATGTCAAATAAATTGATTACATCAGGAGATATAAAGTCGTCCTTAAAAATCTTAATTGAATACACGCAAGTTCGTACAAAGTTTTTTTTTTATTTTTAATCCCATCAAATCTTATAAAGTCTTAACAAATCCTAACGTTAAATAAGTTAAGGAGGGTGTATTCAATTGAGATTTTAAGTGACATTTTAAGACTTTTCAAGATTTGAAACTTTTTAAAATTTTCAGATTTGAGAAAAATTCTATGAAATCTTAAGTCTGGAGGCTAGACTTGAAGTCTGATTTCATGTAAGTTTTTTTGTTTAGAAATCCCTCAAAATCTTAAAAAGTCGTAATAAATCCTAATGTCAAATAAATTAAGCACCTCAAGATTTTGTAAGACTTTAGAAAATTCGAATTGAATACCCTTATATTTTTGAAGGTTTTAAAAAGTGTTAACAAAAATCTAAATTGAACATACCAGCATTTCTAAGATCTTAAAAATTCCTTAAAATTAGAATTTTTAAGGACTGTTAAAGACTTTAGAAACGCTTGGGAGGCCCACAGACTATAGACCGAAGTAGGCGGCGACTTCAATTTTAGAGGGAAAGAAAGGGGAAAAAATTAGGGTTTTTTTTTTATTTATTATTTATTTTTTTATTTTTTTTATCTCCAATGGCGGGTGCTTGTCTCTTATTCTATCATTTGAATTGAATAATAAATAAGTATTTAAATACCAATCCACATTATTATAGTAAATTAAAATTATAAGACGTTTTATACTTAACTAGTACGTAGTCCGTGCGGTGCACGGATAAAAGATGTTAAATACGACATTTTCATAGGGAAGTACGTTTAGGCTTGAAAAACAATAGTTGGATCACGTGTTTTCCACATCTTTTGATCAAGGTTGTTTTTTCGTTATAACGTTAAACCTAAGACTATTAGCTTCAGTCTGCAAATAAATTAATATATTACCCCACTAATTTAATTTTAGTATATATATGTATTCCTTGATGTAATAAAAAATAGCAGTTTTACATATTCTTGTGAACAATATATTACTGAATTTATTATTTTATTATAATTTTTTTTTGCCATATAATTCTGTTATAATTTTTTCTTATAAAAGTTATAGAAGTAGTTTTATTCTTATTTTTTATTTTATGTACGAAAAAATATTTAATGTACGCTAATATTATTTATTAATGTAGTTAATTTAAATTAAAATATTGTGTATAAATATTTTACACAATACACAAATTATTTTAGAATTAATTTTTTTTTTCAATAATTAAATAACTTTGATTTAGCAATCGCTATAAACTAAATACCTTCTACAATCAAGAGATTTTTTTAATTTGCATCATAAGGCTATATTGTTTATTTAGCATACTATGCAATGAAAATGTATTTTATAAGAATTCATTATGTAAAGAAATAACAAAAAAATCATGGTTGACATAATATACAAATAATCACATGTCGAAATTCTAACAAATAATTAAGACATTTTAATTTTATTATCTGGACATTTCTAAAAGTATTTAATGTATGTGGTCATCATCTCTTAAATGATAAATTATGTTAATTTAATGAATTTATTTAGGGAAAAATTTCCATTGGTAAATGTTATTTCACTAACTTGATTTTTTCTAATTAATAGGATGAAAAAAAATTACCGTATATGTTACTATTTCTATAAATATTTTAGGATGAAAAGTCAATATTTGTGAAAAATGTAATAAAT